ACCTATCTAATTCGCTTCTGAGAGGCGGTGTTTCAGGCAGTGCATTCCAGACCGTAACAACTCTCTGTGTAATGAAAAAAAAGTCTCCTCATCTCCCCTCTGGTTCTTCCGCCAATGATCTTAAATCTGTGTCCTCCGGTTACCGACCCACCAGCCATTGGAAACAGTTTCTCTCGATCGGCTCTATCCAAATCCCTCATAATTTTGAACACCTCTATTAAATCTCAACCTCAACCTCCTCTGCTCTAAGGAGAACAATCCCAACTTCTCTAAGTCTCTCACTTTGCATGGACTTTGGGTCACTTCCAGACTCCTGTGTTCCACTCATTCCCATTGTCCACATGAGGCAACAGGATATGTGTTGCAAGGAAATATTTTTAGGTCTGTATGAACCAGGAAATCCACAATTCTCTTTGCAAGTACAGCACACTATTAAAGCAACAGAAGCATTGTTGGTATTTGTTTATTTCAACACCTCGCAGCAAAAACCTACGGCTTTCTGCCCAACTGTACAAAACTCTCCTTCCCTCCCACCCTCCCTCCCAGAAAAGAAAATGAATGAATCTGCCAGCACACACCTCTCTATAATGCAATAAAAAGGAGTGGCACTGAGCTACAGCAGCTCAAAAGCCGGTCTGAAACTGATTGACAGAAAATGAAAGACGCCCAAATCGGATCCAGTTTCTGTCAAGCTCTCACCGATCCTAACCAGCCCGGCCTCGCAACCGGTCTCGGCACACGTGTAGGAACGGGGTGCAGAAAAGGGTGGGGAGGAATAGCTAAGATTGCTGTTCCTGATTAGACCCCGGAGCTGATTGGTTAGCACACCCGCCTCGCAACCCAGAGGCCTGGGTTCGATTCCCGGGCAAGTCAGGGTGAAACGTTGAGCACGTTTCCTTACTCCATCTACGCCTCTCGCGGTCAGTAGGGACCCAGTTGTTAGCCGATTGGCGGATCGCTTTTCTGGGGGTAATAAGGTAATAATTCCTTCCAAAAAAAAAAAAAAAAATTTCGTCACTTAATCAACAACTGTTTGAGAGAGGGACGTTGCTGTGCGCAATTGGCTGCGGCGTTTCGCCCCCAAAAATATACAGTCAATTCGTTTGACACTATCTTCTGCGAAGCACTTTGAGACATCCCAAAGACAGGATAATACGCAAGTATTATTATTATTATTATTACCCGTAAAGAACAATGCAATGCCCTCCGTACTACTAACCTCTCAACATTCCCAATCTGGATTTGCGTGTGAAAGCATTACGGTTCACTGAATCAAAAACAATCAGGTGGGACCCAGTATAGTACGAATATCGTTTGAAATAAAAATGCAGTCTTCGATTCAGTACTCTGTGTGGGGCGAAGCGGGAGAGGGAAGGAAATGGGAAGGTTTTGCACAGTTGGGGCAGAATTTGTGCTGCAAAGCGCTTCAAATAGATCTTGTGTGCATAACCAAGATAAAATATTTTTGCTGGATTGGATACCGACGGCTACAGGAACACTTGGGTGCACAATAATTTGAAGACAAGTTTCCCCGATCCACAAACAACAGCTTCAACAACTTGCGTCTACGTAGTCCCTAACAGAGGGTAGTGTCCTGGAGCGCCTGACAATGGCAGCGCAACACAACCATCTCTTGAGAAATATTCTGGCACTTGCACAAAGCACCAGTTACACCCAGTGAAAAACATATCCAACAATTAAGAGCAGTGAAGGGTGAAGCACGTACTGATGCAAGGGTTAAGACTATTGTATAAGTCGGAGCCGCTCCCCGACTACACCCTCCATAAAATACAGTCAGATCCCAGGTTCAAACAAATTCAGACCTGCATTTATTTATTCAAACTGAACTCAGCTCAAGAGCTCACCGATCCACAGGGGATCAAGATCACTCTTAAATCTCCTCTCCGCGCCGAGTCCTCATCAACTAAACATTTGCCGCCTGCCTGTAATTGACAGCACAGGTAGCTGTCCACAAACCGCTCAGCAATCGACAGCCAGCTGGCCCTTCGCACAGGAGGCCAGCGTGCAAAACGCAACAGGCACTCCGAATCCAGCCACCTCGGTTCTTTCCACCCGCTCCGATCCTGACCCCTAGCTCAAGTCCAAATCCCTGACTGTCCAGCGCCTTGGGACATCCTGTGAAGGTCATTTATTGCATTGTAATGGATAGCCAATGGTTTTGTTGTTAACAAAACAGCAACAGCCCCCTCGCGTGGGATGGCGTCGCAGGGCGCTTGACAGTGGCAGAGGACGACACCAAGCCAGGGGGAGGTGATCAAAGAGGAAGGTCCTTGGGTGTGACCTGAAGAGCGGGAAGAAAAGGGCAAGGCGGAGGCATAGAGAAAGAGCATTCCAGTTTCGGAGTGTAGTAGCTGAATGGTGGCACAGAAGGCACAACAGCAACAACAACACAATTACATTTATAGAGCACCTTTCACGTCGGGAGGACATCCCGAGGCGCTGGACAGTCAGGGCTCAGGATCTGAGTATGGGGGAGCGGTGGGGTAGGGGTGAGCGCAGGCACAGAGGTGAGAGGGCAACCGAAGACACGATCGAAGAGGAGGATCTTGAGACTGGCCTTGAAGGAGGCGAGGAAGGAAGTGAGGGCGAAGGGACTGTGGGATGGAGTTCCGGAGGGTGGAGGGCAGAGAGGCTGGAAGCCCGGCCACCGATGGTAGGGTGGGTCGGGCTGGAGACGCGCAGCGGGAGCGGAGGCACGAGGGACATGCAGACAGCTGGAGCCTTCAGACAAGTTAATAATCAATCTAATTGTCCAAGTAATCTGACAAATTTCATCCCACGTAAATCATTTTCCGATGATACCCTGTGACCCACCAAACAGCCACATGAAACTCCGATCATCGAGGCAGTAATAAACTCTCTTCGCTTTTGTCTGGGACTTCCAAGCCTCGGAGAAGTTAGCACATCAAAGGGTTGGAAAAGGGCACTTGCATAGGGAGACACTATCCACCTTTGTGGGGAGCGGGGTCTCTGGAGCTGAACCGGCTCCGAGGCGACATGCCTGGCAAAGGAATGTCGGAATCGACCCCCACCCCTACTCTGTGATGGTCTCTAGTCCGGTTCCTGAGCCAGGCAGGTCCACAAGTACTTTAGGGCACTCACCACTGATGACAGCTCATCATCAGGACCGGGAAGGGCCGACCGACCAGTCACCGGGGGCAGGGAATCCTCCCCCTCAGCTCCCGTTATCCCCGCAAGCCAAAGCCCTAACGGGGAGGGTGGTCCAAGCTGCACAAGCAGCGGGAAAGCTTGCCGGTCAGCGCTGTCGATGGCAAGCTGTGCAGTTTTAGCTGGTTAGAAACAAGCAGTTACTCAACGCACACTCTAGGGGACCACTTGGCTCTTGTCAATCTGCGCCGAATACTCTCCGGAAATAGGTAAACACGTCGCCATCCCTCCAGGGAGAGAGGGAGGGAGAGAGAGAGAGAGAGAGAGAGAGAGAGAGCGCATTCCATTCCAATAATCTATCTCTGGAATTTCCATGTGTAGGTGGTGGGATGCATGAAATTCTCAGCTCGGTTTGGATACCGTGAAAAGCACAGTGATGGGTTTCCGCGTGTGTCAAGACGCCCGGCTGACCCCCCCCCCCCCACACCCACCCCCAAAAAAAGAGGCGCTAAATAGAATTCATCATCTAACCGGAGACACAATCAACCCCTCTTTCATCAGGTACGGGAGCCGTTAAGATTGCAAGCGTGTACCATTTTGGGTTGAAGCAGTACCTTAGCAATATCTTTCTTTAATTGCAACTAACTGCTCAGATCTGGATCCAGAGACGTCCGCAGATAAGAACAGACGCCGCCGATATGCACTCATTAGATTCTTTCGCGCTGTGCACAACAGGTTAACGCAACATCCACCCCCTGATAAGCCCACAGTCACGTTTAATCACATCTAAAATAAAATCCCCAGCAAAGATAAACACCCACCAGCATTAAACGTTGAAATGCTCCACGTGTTTAACCATTAAATCTGATGCCAACAAAAGCTTCTAAGATTGCATCTGAGGGTCTCGAACGCAACCTCCTGTTATCTTCTGATTATCTCTGTGCAAGTTAATTGTAAAACCCTTCAGCCGAAGCAACGAGAACTCAATGGCCTTTGGTTTACGAGGGCTCCGGCACATCCAATTAAACCGGACATCTGCAAATCCTGAAGCTTGGGAAGGTGCTCTGTGCACAAGGATGTCTTTCCGATGTGAAGGGCGCTATACAAGTGTGATTTGTTGTTGTGGTTGGGCCAAGCGACCGGCGAAAGCCTTTTTTGTGGGAAGTGTCCCAACGCCATCAATAAACCTTACCGTCACAACACAAACCACGCAAAATAATCCCAGCACGTGTCTCTGTAAGATCTGACACCGTTAGCAAAATGAGTCTCAACTTCATTATGAATTCACACCCTTTCTCTTCTCCTCCTCCTCCTCCCCCCCCACTCTCTCTCTCTCTCTCATCCACTGATAAGAGTTCATAGCACAGCTCTCTCTCTCTCTCTCTCTTCGCCCCCCCCCCCCTCACACTCACACGTTCCATTCCCAGTGCTTTCACACTCAAAACCGGTCAGCAGCAATCTGCACTCTTCTGAAATGAAAACATAGCTCTTTCGGCACTGCTTCTCTGTGTTTATCTGAAAATAGCGAAACACGCCCCCCCTCCCCCCCCACCCCCAAGAAGCAGCAGACGCAGAATAAAATGCTCACGTCTTTTGTGTGTGCCTCTTAAAACTCAACAAGACGCCCATCGATAATCCACGGACATTTCTGGAGAGACGTACATTGTGAAAGCAGATATATATATATATATACACACACACAGAGACAGGTCTCTCTTGTAAGCCATTTCCAGGCAGCCTCACTGCATCCTCCGCCGACAGAGCAAAGATCCTGCGTGCGTTGCCCAGTCCACAAAACACACAGTCACTCCACTTACGGGAGGTCCATCCTGCCAAGCGCTTTCACATGGAATATAAACGGACGTAAATACCTTCGGCGACATCATCGTCGATTGCTCCTTTCACCTGAGAGAAACACCACTGGATGTCGTTCCCGGTACCTCCAGCTCCTGCCGAGAGAGAGAGAGAGAGAGGGAGAGAGAGGGAGAGAGTGAGAGAGATTCGGCGATTTGCAAATCGGCTGCCGCGTTTCGCCCACAAATACACAGTCACTACACTTTACAGTATATCCCGTGAAGCGCTTTGAGACGTCTCGAAGACGTGAAAAGCGCTACATCAAATGCAAGCATTATTATTATCATCATCATCATCGTCAGAGGGCAGCGTACATCCTAGAGACTCGGGAAGAGGAAGATTTATCCAAGCTTCCAGGGAGCAGGGTAATTAAATCCCCCCCCCCCCCCCCACCACCTCTCCCTCTCTCCCTCCCCCGCCATTCCTTCTTCTTGACCTCCAAGGACACAGGATTTCGCCCAGACCCCCCCCCTCCCCCCCAGGTTTCGCCCCACAAAACCCCAACAGTCATTTCACTCCCGGGGGTGGGAGGGGGAGAGGGGGTGATATCCTGCGAAGCGCTTTTGAGGCATCACTTGGCTAAGATAAGACGCTGTGTTCACTATCACCATCAGTAATTATTAATAGTAATAATCACAAGTAAGGCATCTTTTTCCCCCTTCCCCCCCCTTTCTCTCCCCACCCCCACACCCCCCCCCCAAACACACACAGAGTCCTACAACAAGGAGACCTTGGGACCACCCCAAAAAAAGGGGGGCCTGGGTGTAGAGGAAGCCAAAGCAAAGCAGGGAAAGGGGGGGATGGGATTTTATTTCTTATTATATTAGATAATGCTATATATTATATATAAAATTAAAAATATATATTATCATATTATATAAATACATATATATATCTCCATCTCTCTCTCTCTTCTGTATCTACAGAGACACAGGAATCTGTGGAGATTGATCCCAATTCGTGATGGAAAAGAGGGAGTGAGAGAGAGAAAAGAAACAGAGAGGGAGAGAGGGAGTGTGAGAGAGAGGAGAGAGAAGAGGGAGGAGAGAGAAGGGGAGAGGGAGTGTGAGAGAGAGGAGAGAAGACATAGAGAGAGAGAGAAAAGACATAGAGAGAGAGGGAGTGTGAGTGAGAGAGAAAAGGCGTAGAGAGGGAAGAGAGAGAGGGAGTGTGTGAGAGAGAAAAGACATAGAAAGAGAAAAGAGAGGGAGAGAGGGAGGGAGTGTGTGAGAGAGAGAAAAGACATGGAGAGAGGGGGAGAGAGAGAGAGGGAGTGTGTGTGAGAGAGAGAGAAAGGACTGAGAGAGAAGAGGGAGAGAGAGAGGGAGTGTGAAAGAGAGGAGAGAGAGAGAAAAGAGAGGGCGAGAGAGAGGGAGTGTGTGAGAGAGAGAAAAGACACAGAGAGAGAGAGAGGGAGTGTGTGTGAGAGAGAGAGAGAGAGAAAAGACACACAGAGAGAGAGAGGGAGAGACAGAGAGAAGAGGGAGGGAGAGAAAGAGTGTGTGAGAGAGAGAGAGAGAGGAGGAGAGAGGAGGGAAGACGAGAGCCCTCTCTCTCTCTCCCCCTCTTCTCGATGTCTTTTCTCTCTCCCTCTCTTTTCTCTCTCTCTCTCTCTCCCTCTCCTCTCTTTCACACACTCTCCCTCTCCCCCTCTCTCCCCCACACACGGCCACACACACACACACAGACACACACACACAGACACACACACACAGACGGACGGACATGTTTTTTTTTCTCTCCCTCTCCCTCTCCCCCTCTCTAACGGGGGCATCTTTTTTCTCTCTCTCTCTCACTCTCTCTCTCTCTCTTTCTCCTCACCGGCCATGACGCGAGGCGCTGGCGAGGCGGCGGCGGCGGCGGCGGGGCGGGGCGGGAGCGGGCGGGCGGGCGCGGTGAGTCCCGGGCTCCCGCTGGGCGAGGCGGAGGGCCGGTCGGGGAGGCTTCTCGGCGCGGATGGCGGCGGATTCGAGCCCCGGGCGCCGCCGCTGCTGCTGCTGCTGCTCCTCTTTTTTTTTCCCCCCCCTTCACACTCTCTCTCCTCTCTCTCCTCTCCCGCCCCCTCCCCCGCGCGCGACGCCCCGCCTCAGCCCCGCCCCCCCCCGCCCGGCGCGCCCGCGCGCGCGCTTCTCCCGCCCCACAAGATGGCGTCCCCCCCTTGACGTCATCGCCGTGGAGGGCGGGGCCCAGCCGGCTCGCTGTCACTCACTCACCGCCACAGGCTCCGCCCACCCATTCCCCTCACCCCACGGCTGTGGCCGCGGCCGCGCGACGCCCCGCCTCAGCCCCGCCCCTCCCCCCCCACAAGATGGCGTCCCCCCCCTTGACGTCATCGCCGAGGAGGGCGGGGCCCAGCCGGCTCCCTGTCACTCACCGCCACAGGCTCCGCCTCCCGCCCGCGCGCGCGCTTCTCCCGCCCCACAAGATGGCGTCCCCCCCTTGACGTCATCACCGAGGAGGGCGGGGCCCAGCCGGCTCGCTGTCACTCACCGCCACAGGCTCCGCCACACACCCCCCCCCCACTTCCCTTCACCCCACGGCTGTGGCCGCGCGACGCCCCGCCTCAGCCCCGCCCCCCCGCGCGCGCGCTTCTCCCGCCCACAGGATGGCGCCCCCCCTGACGTCATCACCGAGGAGGGCGGGGCCCAGCCGGCTCGCTGTCACTCACCGCCACAGGCTCCGCCCACCCATTCCCCTCACCCCACGGCTGTGGCCGCGCGACGCCCCGCCTCAGCCCCGCCCCCCGCTTCTCCCGCCCCACAAGATGGCGTCCCCCTGACGTCATCGCCGACGAGGGCGGGGCCCAGCCGGCTCCCTGTCACTCACCGCCACAGGCTCCGCCCCCCCCCCCCCCCCCGTGGACTGGCGGCACCTTTCCTGTCAATCACAGCACCACACACCGCAACCTCCTGCCACTCACTGCCACTGACCGCCACTCACTGCCACTGACCGCCACTCACTGCCACTGACCGCCACTCACTGCCACCGACCGCCGCTCACTGCCACTGACCGCCACTCACTGCCACTGACCGCCACTCACTGCCACTGACCGCCACTCACTGCCACTGACCGCCACTCACTGCCACCGACCGCCACTCACTGCCACTGACCGCCACTCAATGCCACCGACCGCCACTCACTCACTGCCACCGACCGCCACTCACTGCCACTGACCGCCACTCACTGCCACCGACCGCCACTCACTGCCACCGACCGCCACTCACTGCCACTGACCGCCACTCACTGCCACTGACCGCCACTCACTGCCACTGACCGCCACTCACTGCCACCGACCGCCACTCACTGCCACCGACCGCCACTCACTGCCACTGACCGCCACTCACTGCCACCGACCGCCACTCAATGCCACCGACTGCCACTCACTGCCACCGACCGCCACTCACTGCCACCGACCGCCACTCAATGCCACCGACCGCCACTCAATGCCACCGACCGACCGCCACTCACTGCCACCGACCGCCACTCACTGCCACCGACTGCCACTCAATGCCACCGACTGCCACTCAATGCCACCGACCGCCACTCACTGCCACCGACTGCCACTCAATGCCACCGACTGCCACTCAATGCCACCGACTGCCACTCAATGCCACCGACTGCCACTCAATGCCACCGACCGCCACTCACTGCCACCGACCGCCACTCACTGCCACCGCCGCCACTCACTGCCACCGACCGCCACTCACTCCACCGACCCACTCACTGCCACCGACCTCCACTCACTGCCACCGACCGCCACTCACTGCCACCGACCGCCACTCACTGCCACCGACCGCCACTCACTGCCACTGACCGCCACTCACTGCCACCGACCGCCACTCACTGCCACCGACCGCCACTCACTGCCACCGACCGCCACTCACTGCCACCGACTACCACTCAATGCCACCGACCGCCACTCAATGCCACTCACTACCGCCTCCTGCCACACATTTCAACCTCTCGCAAAAACACTGCCACTAACTGCAACCTCCCGCCACTCACTCCAAGGCACTGCAACCCCCTGCCAGCCTGCATTCACTGCCACCTGCTGACAGCTATTCTGCACGGCACCACTGAAACCTCTTAATAATAATAATAATAATAATCCTGGCATTTGATTCAGTGCCTTATCGCGTCTTTGGGACGTCTCAAAGCGCTTCCCAGGATATCCTGGAAAGCGATTTGACTGTGTATTTTGTGGTAATTAATTAACACAATGCATTTAATGCATTAAATGCAAGAATTATTATTATTGTTACACAGCAAATCAGGTCCTGATGTTTGCTGCTCGTTAGGGCCGATTTCGAGCACCCACTGGCACAGTGGCTGTCTTTGTCACAAGAAAATGGACCGGTGCTTTCCGTATCCCCTCAATTGCATTACACATCATTATCCTCTTGGGATTATGGTATCGAGTTATTATAATTTTGTAATTGGACTAAAGTATTAACATTTTGCTTCTTCTGAATTGAGGATTAACCGCCCGCAGTGACTAATGCAGTAGGTTTATAAGTGCTGGTTCGGGACACGGAGCAAATTATAACAAAACCCTCCCCCCCCCAGTCATAGTTTCTGAAAGCTTTTAGGAAGAGGGTCAAGGGGGTGGTAGGGGGTGGGGGGGGAAGGGTGTTGTTTGGAAGACAATTTCTATACAAACAGTTACTAGGAATGCGGAGATGATGCCAGACTATCAGCCCAACTACGCTGTTTGAAAGGGAATTAGGTTCGATTCACGGTCAGGACAAGACCTTATGCAACTTTCCTCACTCCACACACATGCCTTTGTTTACCTAAGAGCCCAGTAGTTAGTCAATTAATGGATCGCTTTTCCGAGGTTATAATCCCTTAAAAAAATACAATAATAATTTGGTCAATCATTCCACGACTGCTCGTGGGACACTTCTGTGCGCAACTGGCTGCCGCATTTCGCCCACAAATACACAGTCTACAATATATTCTGCGAAGCGCTTTGAGACATCTCAATGACCTGATAAGGTGCTATATCAAATGCAAGGATTATTATTGCTGTTATAATATAGTTTTCCTTCTGGAACCTCAGACTCGATGGGCCGCATGGCCTCCTTCTGTGCCGTAACATTCTTTGATTCTATGAACTTAGTTCCCAATGGATGTTGACTCCAGGGACAAAACTACCTTTAGTGGGTGGGTCAACAACAACTTGCACTTGTATAGGACCCTCCACTCAGGACAGTGTCTCAGAGAGTTCAGCAATGGCGGAGCCTGGGGAGTGGAGGTGGGGAGGGGGGAAGAGAGGGAGGTGAGGATTGAGGGAGGGTGTTCCAAAGTTTTGCAGCTGAAAACCTCCAATGCTGGAGTGGAGGGTGCGAGGGCCAAGCTGGTGCCAGTCGTGCAGAGGCCAGCGGTGGTGAATTGGGGAGTGAGGAGATCGGAGAGGGAGGGAGGTGCCAGGGAGTGAAAGGATTTGAACACGAGTGCGAGGATTTGAAGGCGGGTCAGTTTCTCAATGAATACGTTGATGCCAAGTCAGATCATTTCACTTGATATTTTATTGAATGTTGCTCACACGGTCCAATGCTTCAGGTATAAGAGATAAGATCTGGATCCAAACAAATGCTACTCCCTTTCGTTTTTTCTTGCCGACAACTCTTATCCTTTAAGAGTAGCTTCACGGAGAACGCTTCGGTCAGCGAGAGAGCGAGCGGGAAGCTGTGGGTGTGAGACGCTGCATTGCCAAGGAGGGTTCATCGGTCAACACTGGACTTGGGACAGTGTTAAGCAACAGCATTAGGCAGGCTCACTGTTGATAAGAGTCAGTTGTGGTAAAAGGAGAAAACAGAGAGGCAGAGTTTTTTTTTACAATAATGCGGAGGGGAATGAACTGTCCCAGTTTCAAGTCGCACAAGCCAGCACCTCAGTCAAAGTTCTGTTCTGTTGCGGCGAGAACCTAGCATCAGGGAGAGAGGTGAATATGTCCATCCCAACCTACCTTTCGGGCAGACAACGATGCAGGGAAATAAAACGGAAAATGGTGTGTCTGTGAACGCGTAGGGGAAAATAAACCACACACAGGAGCAGCCCACTCCGATTTAACACCGCTAGTTTACGTCACATTGTCACCAAAATACATGCTTTAAGCTGCACACCTCGATGGGTGAAGAAGGTTTGCTCAGCCGCTGTCTTTATCAGAGGGAGAACACCCACAGTGCTCGGCTCATTTTTGCACTGACATGCGGAGCAGAAATCCTCTTCCCAACGTTAAGGGCTATCACCAGCGACAGATTCCAATGAAAGATAAGGAATACACAAGGGAGAAGGGAACAGAGGGGAATGGGAGAGGGGATTAAGAGGGTGCAGTACCACCATGGACTTATTGGGCTGAAAGGCCTGTTTCCATACTGTAACCTTTTATGTAATCGTTGCTGTTTTATGTAATCATTAGTGTTTGTGGGGACGCTGCTGTGCGCAATTGGCTGCCGTGTTTCGTCCACGCAGATATACAGTCAATTCAATTTATAGTATATTCTGTGAAGCGCTTTGAAACGTCTCGAAGACGTGATAAGGGGCTGTATCAAATGCAAGGATTATTATTGTTATGATTAACTTTAAAAAGATTAAAAAGTGAGGGGGGGATCACAAATTTCCTACATTTGGGGACAGGGAGGGAAAAGTGAACAGTTCCCAAAGCAATGTTTAAGGTGGAACATAATTAAAGAGTTGAATTGGAAAATAAAACAAGCTACTCAGTCGCATCTTTTTTTATATAAAAAACATTCCCTCCCCAACCCCCACCTATCCCTTGCGGCTTCGACATGGACACGGTCCTAGAGCCAAACAGGTTTGAAAAGTGGCTTGGTCTTAAGCAAAAGAAAGAAAAAGAAGAGAAAAATTGCAACGTAAAATATAATTTGGACACCAATACTCTACGCTAACTTGACTCTTGCCCAGTGTATGAAGTAGCCAAGGAAGAGGAGGTGGTAGATGTCCTCTGGTCCTGCCAGCTCCCCACACCAGGATCGCATGCCATCGATGGGGACGAACTGTGAGGCCAAGTCCTCAGTCATCGAAGTCTGGGATGTCGTCGTAAGAATAGCCTCGGTAGCCTTTGAAAGCGTAGAAAGCGATCCGCAGGTGGTAGAAACCGGGCACAAAGACGAGGACACCGATGATCAATACTGGCCATGTCGTGTCACTGTACTGGAAAGGGAAACGGGGTTTCAGTTGGATGATGAGAACAATAGTTAATGATAATCCTCACCACATTTGACATCACAGAAATTTACAGCGCAGAGGGAGGCCATTCAACCCATCGCATCTGAACCAGCTCTTAGGCGCAGGGTGTTCATTCAATCCCAGAGCTCTGACCTGTCCCCATGCTCACCCCCGCTAAACTCCAAGCCCCCATCAGATCAGTCCTGACCAGGTTCCACGGGCTCCTGATCGCTGACCGGATCGATTTCAGGATCCTCACACTCGTTTTCAAATCCCTTCGTGCCCTGGCACCTCTCTGCCTCTCCCACCTGCTTACCCCACAACCCGCTGCCTCCGCTAGACTGGCTCCGACACCCCCTCCGGTCCCTTGTGCTCTTCGTTCCACCATCGGTGGCCGCGCTTTCAGCCACTACATCCCGAAACTCTGGAAACACTCTTCCTCTATCCCTCCGCCTTGCCCGCTCTTTCCCCACCTACGTGAGGGGCGCTGTGTAAAAGCAAGTTGTTGCTGTAGCCCTTTCAAGCCTCTTTATACCCATATACTTCAAAAACCTTCACAGGATTTTTACTGTAACAGTAACATTTACAGTAACATTGGCCGCACACTTTGTAGGCGAAAGCAACAGCCAGTTTGGTATATTCAGTATATTCTGTGAAGTGCTTGAGACGTCTCGAAGACATGGCGATAAATCAAATGCAAGTGCACAGTATTATTACGATGATCAGCTCACCGAACTGTCGATGTACCCGGAGAGCAGGAGGGCACCGATGGTTATCAGGAGAGATCCGATCAGAAAGAGGATCGTTGCAAGTGCAATCGCTTTGTAGGGGACCTTTGTGGGAAGTTTCTTGAACTGGAGGGAAGAGAAAAAACACGAAACAGACAGGCAGTGGTCACTGGTCAGAGAGAACATAATCTGAGGCCGTACGAAACTAGGCCAGCAATGGGCAGTTACAACGCGGTGGACGGGTTTGCAGGGTTATGGGAAAAGGGCTGGGAAGTGGGACTGACATTACTCTTTTCAAAGAGCCGGCACAGACTCGATGGGCCGAATGGCCTCTTTTTGCGCGGTACGATTCTATGAAAAAACACAGCTAAATCGTAACACTGTAATATTGATAATCCCGGCATTTGACCCAGCGCCTTATCACGTCTTCGAGACGTCTCAAAGCGCTTCACAGGATACACTGTAAAGTGGAGTGACTGCATATTCTGTGAGTGAAACGCGGTATTATTCGCTTTATTTTTTGATGGGGTTATTACCCGCGGGAAAGCGATCCGCCGATCGACTAACAACTGGGTTCCTGCTTACTGTTGGTTAAACAGAGGTGTGTGAGTGCGTGTGTCGAGTAAGGAAACTTGCCCAACGTTTCGTCCTGACCTGACCCGCCCGGGATTCGAACCCGGGGTCCTTTCGCTTGCGAGGCGAGGGCTCTAACCCCTGAGTTACAGGGACTCTACATCCAGAACGCGCTGCGATCTGGACACGCTCTCTCGGTCAGTAAGCCGTTTTAGCGCCTCACCTGCAGGTCGATGTAACCCTCGTCGCTGCTGGACAGTTTAGAGTATTTCACTTTGCTGCTGGAGATCCCAGTAGCCACATTGTTTCGGGAAGGCATCATAGCCGAGTTGATCAAACACTAGAGACACACACACAGAGAGAGGGATAGAGTTAGTCACTCTGCAGCACATTCAAAAAAAATGGCTATTTACGGACACACAGAACCGAGGTCTACAGAGCCTTTACTTTAAGGTTAACTCAATACCTCCTCTGACAGTGCCTTAAGCAGTAAACCCTCAAACCTCACACACACTCACCCGAGCCTTCACACACCTATACACACACACACACACACACAGTCACATAGTCACAGACTCATAGCCACAGACAGACAGACACACACAGAGACAGACACACACAGACACTCACACACACCGACACTCACACACACCGACACTCACTCACACACAGACACTCACTCACACACACAGACACTCACACACACACAGACACTCACACACACACAGACACTCACACACACCGACACTCACACACACCGACACTCACACACACACAGACACTCACACACACAGACACTCACACACACCGACACTCACTCACACCGACACTCACACACACCGACACTCACTCACACACCGACACTCACTCACACACCGACACTCGCGCACACACACCGACACTCGCGCACACACACCGACACTCGCGCACACACACCGACACTCGCGCACACGCAGACACTCGCGCACACGCAGACACTCACTCACACGCAGACACTCACTCACACGCAGACACTCACTCACACAGACACTCACTCACACAGACACTCACTCACACAGACACTCACTCACACAGACACTCACTCACACACCGACACTCACTCACACACCGACACTCACTCACACACCGACACTCACTCACACACCGACACTCACACACACACACAGACACTCACTCACACACACCGACACTCACTCACACACCGACACTCACTCACACACAGACACTCACTCACACACACAGACACTCACACACACAGACACTCACACACACAGACACTCACACACAGACATTCACTCACACAGACATTCACTCACACAGACACTCACACACACAGACACTCACACACACAGACACTCACACACACAGACACTCACACACACAGACACTCACACACACAGACACTCACACACACAGACACTCACACACACAGACACTCACACACACAGACACTCACTCACACAGACACTCACTCACACACAGACACTCACTCACACAGACACTCACACACACAGACACTCACACACACCGACACTCACACACACCGACACTCACACACCGACACTCACACACACCGACACTCACACACACCGACACTCACACACACCGACACTCGCGCACACACACCGACACTCGCGCACACACACCGACACTCGCGCACACACACCGACACTCGCGCACACACACCGACACTCGCGCACACACACCGACACTCGCGCACACACACCGACACTCGCGCACACACACCGACACTCGCGCACACACACCGACACTCGCGCACACACACCGACACTCGCGCACACACACAGACACTCACTCACACGCAGACACTCACTCACACGCAGACACTCACTCACACGCAGACACTCACTCACACAGACACTCACTCACACAGACACTCACTCACACAGACACTCACTCACACAGACACTCACTCACACAGATACTCACTCACACACCGACACTCACTCACACACACAGACACTCACACACACCGACACTCACTCACACACAGACACTCACTCACACACAGACACTCACACACACAGACACTCACACACACAGACACTCACACACAGACATTCACTCACACAGACACTCACTCACACAGACACTCACTCACACAGACACTCACACACACAGACACTCACACACACAGACACTCACACACACAGACACTCACACACACAGACACTCACACACACAGACACTCACACACACAGACACTCACACACACAGACACTCACTCACACACCGACACTCACTCACACACCGACACTCACACACAGACACTCACTCACACACACAGACACTCACTCACACACACAGACACTCACTCACACAGACACTCACACACACAGACACTCACACACACAGTCACTCACTCACACACACTCACACACAGACACTCACTCACACACAGACACTCACTCACAGTCACTCACTCCCACAGACACTCACTCCCACAGACACTCACACACACAGTCACTCACTCACACACACTCACACACCGACACTCACTCACACAGACACTCACTCACACACAGACACTCACTCACACAGACACTCACTCACACAGACACTCACTCACACAGACACTCAGACACACAGACACTCAGACACACACTCACTCACACAGACACTCACTCACAGACACACACACAGACACTCACACACAGACACTCACACACACAGACACTCACACACACAGACACTCACTCACACAGACACTCACACACACACCGACACTCACTCACACACAGACACTCACACACACAGACACTCACACACAGACCCCCCCCCCAGGGCTCGGGGCTCTTGTGCCTGACCAGCCTCTGACCAGCCTCTGACCTGCCGAGAACCGCCATCGCCTCCGCCATCATCGCCGCCGCCGCCGCACCATCACTTCCGGTCCGCCGTCACTTCCGGTCGGGTCCGCCACCTCTTCCCCCTCCGCCGCCCGCGAGTCCCGAGGGCCGAGGTTCCGCCCTCAGTCCCCCTTCCCACCCCGTCCAGCGCTTCGTGACGCCTCTCCCCTGTGTGAGAGGCGCCATATACATCACTGGGGAGAGAGCGGGGGAGTGGGGGGTTGGTCGGGGCTATGGGGAGAGTGGGGTTGGTCGGGGCTATGGGGGAGGGGGGGGAGTGGGGGTTGGTCGGGGCTATGGGGGGAGGGGGGGAGGGGTTGATCGGGGCTATGGGGGGAGGGGGGGAGGGGTTGGTCGGGGCTATGGGGGGAGTGGGGTTGATCGGGGCTATGGGGGGAGGGGGGGAGGGGTTGGTCGGGGCTATGGGGGGAGTGGGGTTGGTCGGGGCTATGGGGGGAGGGGGGGAGGGGTTGGTCCGGGCTATGGGGGGAGGGGTTGGTCGGGGCTATGGGGGGAGCGCGGTGGGGGTGGGGTGGGAGTGGGGGTTGAATTGGAAGCTCTTTTCAAGGAGTGGGCGCAGACCCCGATGAGCCGAATGGCCTCCTCCTGTGCTCTATGGTTCCGATCGCCCCCCCTTCCCTCCTCCTTCAAGACCCTCACCTTCGACCGTGCCCTCCGCCGCCCTCCACTTACCCCCACCCCCCCGCCCTCCCCCCGCCCTCCGCCCCTCCCGATCCCAACCGCCAGCGGGTCCCAGACCGTCCAGCGGCTCGGGACGTCCTCCCCGACGTGAAGGGCCGCGCGTCGGTGTCCGTCGCCGTCGCTGTCGTCGTTGACGTTGACCCGCGCGTTGGCGCCACTCGCTGAGGCTCGCGCAGCCCCGAGCCCCCCGTAGGGTTGGTGTGGCTCCACCGGAGGGCAGCCGGAGGGCAGCCGGCGCTCACGGCCGTCCGCTCCAGCCTTCAGAAAGGCTTCGAGATGGGCAACGGGTGAAGATAGTTGTTGATAATAATAATAATAAAGCGGTAATAATAATAACAACAATCCTCGCATTTGATATAGCGCTCTTCACGTCTCCTCGACGTCCAAAAGCGCTTCGCGGAGCCCACTGTGAAGTGAATTGACTGGATATCTGTGGGCGAACGCGGCGGCCGATTGCGCACAGCAATGTCCTCACAAACAGTCGTGGATTGAAAATGACCAATTTATTATTGTTTTGGTTTTGGAGGATTATTATTAGGCTCTGTGTGGGGTAAGGAAACTTGCCCGAGGTTTGGCCCTGACTGACCTGCCGGGAATTGAACCCGGGTCTCTCGCTTACAAAGCGAGTGCTCTAACCACTGAGCCACAGGTACATCGCAAGCGAGAGGTCCCGGGTTTGATTCCCTGCAGGGTGAAGCGTTGGGCAAGTTTCCTTACTCCACACGCACACACACACACGTGCGCCTCTGTGTACCGGCAGTCGGCAGGAACCCGGTTGTTAGTCGATTGGACGATCGCTTTTCTGGAGATAATAATTCCTCCTAAATAAATAATAATAATAATCGGCCACTCGATCCGCGGCTGTTTGCGGGGACGCTGCTGTGCGCAATTGGCCCCCGGTGTTTCGCCCGCAAAACACGCAGACAATTCCCTTAATAATAATAATAATAATAATCCTCGCATTTGATGTAGCGCTTTTCACGTCGGGAGGACGTCCCAAAGCGCTTCACAGAACGCACTGTAAAGTGAATTGACTGTATATTTGTGGGCGAACGCGGCAGCCAATTGCGCACAGCGCACAGATTCCGTGAAGCGCTTTGAGACGTCCCCAAACAGTTGCAATTGAGGCATAACCGGATGATCGTTGGTCTTCTTTGTCGTGGACTTTGTTCAGGTTTAAAGTTGGCCCAGCATGGACCTCTTCTCTCTGGGCTGGAGCAGAGAATTATCGCCCAGCCTCACTCACCACCAAGTGGTGCTCTTCACCCACTTTAAGACAGATCCCGTGACAGGTTGATTGATGAACGTCGGCGTTGAGAGAGGATTGATACCAGATTATGTGGAGGTTTTTTTTTAAAAAGAGCGTCGAGAAAGTTAATAAAGTGGATCCACTGGTCGCAATAAATTAAACTGCGCTTATTCCCAGGTGTCTAACGCGCGCAGAAAGGCATCGCCGTGCTTGAGAGTCTCCAAACCGGACTGAGAGTTCCACTTAAGCACGCCACCTCCATATGAGAATATCCCCCCGTCTGAAATTTCCCCCAGGAAGAGATCCTACTTCATTTAATCTTAAACTTAATGGCTGTATGTGGGACGTTAATGTGCGGCAACTGTGCGCCAACTGGCTGCCACGTTTCGCCCCACAAAAAATACGGTCGATCCGCTTTACAGCGCATAATAATAATATTCCTCGCGTTTGATACGTCTCAAAAGGCGCTTCACAGGATATACTGGATAGTGTCGTGACTGCGTACTTGGCGGGCGAAACGCGGCAGCCAATTCCGCACGGCAGCGGCCCCACAAACAGTCGGGGGGGGGGGGGGGGGTTGCGTGGCCAAATCGTTATTTTTAAAACGATGATTATATCCTGCGAAGCGCTTGGAGGCGTCTCGAAGCCGTGATAAGGCGCTGTATCAAATGCAAGGATTATTACCACGATGATTATTGTTGTAAATGCAAGTTGTTGTGGTGCAGCGACCAGAATACGGTTCGGGGGAATCCTTTTGTGCTACATCTGAAATTATTATTTTTATTATTTTTTGAGGGGCTGGAATCGAGCAACGTTTCCATTCAGGGAATAAAGAGGGAAAGGTGACATATTTTTACAGACTACAGAAATATCACAGCCTATCCCTGAATGCACATTGATTTTCCAATGGCCTGGCTAATTTGGTGGAATAAATCATGGCCCCAGGCACCTGACATAATCCTATCAACAACAGCAGGATCTTTCATTGCAAGTCACAGGTTTTCTCTTTGGTTTCCAAACTGCTCCTTTTGTAACTTACAATCCTCGTAAACACGCAGTCAGCCTCGAGCCCCCCCACAATAACACACTTGCTCCCTCCCTCATTCACTCCCTCCCTCCCTCACTCACTCTCTCACTCACTCCAACGCAGTGAACCACTCTAAGACATTCTTCCCAACTCTATATCAGATAATATCGAAAATCTTACAGTTAATAAAGCGTTATTTTATTTTAGTGCCTTCCAGAACACAGGGTATCACGGGCTGAATAGAATACACAGTACATTATAGACTTAACACCAGAGTATTAAGAGCCTTATATCAGCTGCAACACACCCTCCCTCCCTCTCTCTCTCTTTCTCTCTCTCTCCCAATGTATTTCATAAGTTGGCGCTGTTGTGTGCAGTGATGGAATCGAGTTTTGTGCAAAAACTGGGCTGAACTTACTGCTCTCTCCTCCCTCCCTCCCTCTCCCATCTACAAATATGAATGTAGTTTCTAAACTATTAATAATCCACCTAATAACTAGTTGCACCCCCCTCTCTCTGTCTCTCTCTCTCTCTCGCTCTCTCTCTCCTCTTCCCTGACTCCATAACCTGCTGTGTATTTTCTGTTTATTGCTTCACATATGGTCGTACATTGTTGGGGTCTCTAAAGGGACTTGAGTCCTGAAGGGCCAATTCCATAGTAATAATGATAATAATCCTCGCATTTGCTACAGCGCCTTATCACGGCTTCGAGACGTCTGAAAGCGCTTCACGGGGCAGACCGCCAAGTGGAGTGACTGTGTGTTTTGTGGGTGTTTGCGTACAGCGACGTCCACAAGCAGTTGTGGATTGAGTGACCAAATTATTTTTTTTTTGGGTGTGGGGGGGGAAGGATTACTACCCCTGGAAAAGCGATCCACAGGAGGAAACAGGGTTCCTACTTACTGCTGGGTAAACAGAGGTGTGTGTGTGTGTAGTAAAGAAACTTGCCTAAGGTTTTGCCCCTCATTCTGAGGATGAATGGTATACAATTATATCTCACCTGGTGTCCAGCCAGTGACAGCTGGTTACATTAAGAAGCCTCTCACCCTGATAGGAACGGTTTAACCCAGGTAATGGCCTGCAAACTGATAACCCCCCCCCACCCACCCACCCCTCCACCCCTCCTAAAAAAAAGAGCTGAGGGGTGAGTGTTTCTGTGTTAATGAATGAACATCTCATACAGTACAAGGCAAAAAAAAAACACCCAAATACCTATGTTTTTCACAGTAAATGCCACTCACACCTCCCACATACACACTCTCTCTCTCTTCCCACCCCCACCACCCCCCCCCCCCCCCACACACACACACACACACACATTCATCATCCAGTTACTGTTAGAAAGATTCATGAGGATCTCGTGTAAATAGCCCAAACCATCGTGAAATTAACGTTGACACCTTATTTGCTGACAGTAACGTACTGTCGGTCCTCACGTTACTCACCTCTGCAGCTGAGATGATACACTTGGATGAAAGTTTCCTGTAAAATAATTAATCTTCGGGGTGGGGGGGTGGGGGGAGGTGGGGGGGGATATAACCGTTTGTGTTTTAATTTTTTATTTTTTTCAGGGGTTGGGTAGGGAGTGGGGGAGAGACAAATAACGAATTTGAAAGCCATAAGATCCTGCGTTAAAAAAACATGTAAGGTTTCGATTTCTGATCATTATTTCACACTCACTCACTCACTCACTCACTCACCCACCCACCCACTCACTTACTCACTCACTCACTCACTCACTCACTCACCCACCCACTCCCTCACTCACTCACTCACTCACCCAACCACCCACTCCCTCACTCACTCACCCACCCACTCCCTCACTCACTCACCCACCACTCCTCACTCACTCACCCACCCACTCACTCACTCACTCACTCACTCACTCACTCACTCACTCACCCACCCACTCCCTCACTCACTCACTCACTCACTCACCCACCCACCCACCCACTCCTTCACTCACTCACCCACCCACTCACCCACTCACTCACTCACCCAACCACCCACTCCCTCACTCACTCACCCACCCACTCCCTCACTCACTCACTCACTCACCCACTCCCTCACTCACTCACCCACCCACCCACTCCTTCACTCACTCACTCACCCACTCACTCACTCACTCACCCACTCCCCCACCTCATCAGCCATCATTCTGAATGTTTGACTTAAACATTTATCATTTGATACGATGGCTGATAAAATCACGATGATGGGAGTTGAGAGGTTTTTTTGTGTGTGTGTCACTAAACTTCTGTGGCAGAAACAGAAAGGGTTTGAATTTTTTTGGAGGGGGGATAAGTTCCCAATTTTGTATTTTTTTTAACCCCCCCCCCAAAAAAAAAATTTACTGAAGGGAGGGAATGGGAGAGGGAAGGGATGGTGTTGGTGGTTGGTGGTGGGGAGGGAGGGGGGGGAGGGAGAGGATGAAATCCACAGCTCAATTTAAATTGGATCTTAGGGAAAAGACACTCACAAACACACACACACAATGATAAATCGACAAGATCTCTTGGTGGTTAGATAACAGCTGAACAGAGCTGGACAGATGGCGAGAGAGTTACTTTCAACCCACCCCTAAAACATGTACAGTTTTGTGTGTGCAAACCTGGTACACGTGAAACAGAGGAGGGGGGAGTGGGGTTGGGATCAAGACCCCTTCGGGGCACATTGCTTGTATAATTCTTACTAAAAACCACACGAAAACTGCAGAGTAATGTCACTTTGCTTGTCAAAAACACAGTGATAAAAGATTTTTTTTTTGCAGTGTGTTTAAATGTCCCCTGTGTTTGGGATAGAGAGAGAGAGAGAGGGGGGGGGGGGGGGGGGAGGGGGGGGGTGGGAGTTGAGGGCTGGTGTGTGTGTTAGAGAAAGAGAGAGAGAGAGAGATTGTGCACTGTTTTGTGATGGTGTGAATGTTGGCTATTTGTTTGTTGTTTTGCATTGCTTTCTGGAGAGAGTCCGAACCAAACCCGGGTTTGATGTGTTCTTATATTAATAGTCATTATAATAATAATTATTGCATTTGATACAGCGCTTTTTTATCCACAGAGACCACTCCTTGTCCCGTCCCCCCCCCAGTTCTTGATTTTTAATAACTCTTTATTTAACAAAAAAAAACAAATAGAAAAACATCTACAAATAGACATCCAGACTGTATATTGAAACACTTCCTATCCATCTCCTTTACATCACAATTTGATGGTTCTCCCAAACATTTTGACCCCCAAAAGGGTCAATTGATGAGCTCAAAAATGCTATTTTTTGACGCAGGATCTTATAATAATAATAATAATCGTTGCATTTGATATAACGCCTTATCGCGTCTTCAAGACGTCTCCAAAACGCTTCACATTTTTATTCTTAATCATTTGTTGAATTGTAACGGTGTTTTTGCTGTGAAATGGACCAAATTTTTGCTGTCAAATGGATAACATGGAAATGTTATGGCCATAAATCGCCCCCTGGAATTTATTCGTGTGTGTATCTGTGTGTCTGTGTGTGTGAGTGAGTGTATGTGTGTGTGTGTGAGGGGGGGTATGTGTATGTGTGTCTGTGTTTGCGTATGTGTGTGAGAGGCTGTACATGTGTGCGTCTGTGTGTGTGTGTGTGTGAGGGGGGTGAATGGTCTATGTGTTTGTGTTTGTATGTGCATGTGAGTGTGTGGTGGGGCTGCATATGTGTGCGTTTGTGTGCGAGGGTTTGTGTTTGTCTGTGTGTGTGCCTATGTGTTTGTGTTTGTATGTATGTGTGTGAGTCTGTGAGGGGGTGTTTCTGTATGTGTGTGAGGGTGTGTGTGAGGGTGTGTGTGAGAGTTGGGGGACTGTGTGGTATGTGTTTGCGTGTGTGTATGTGAGTGGGGATGGGGGGGGTGGGGTGGGGGGGGCTGTGTGTATATGTATGTGTGTATGTGTGTGTATGTGTGTGTGTGTGTATGTGTGTGTGTGTATGTGTGTATATGTGTGTTAGCCACAAGGGTTAGAGTCGAGTTGTTCGCTTTTTATTACCAACAAACCCAAAATATTGTGTTTTTTAAACACTTTAGACAAACGCCGCACTGCCTGACTTGGGTTTTGAGAGGAGGTGTTTGTGTTTGTGTTGTTGATGCTTTTGATGCGATTTTCCTCTGTTTTTCTTTGAACATTTCATTTTGATTTAACGCAATAAAACTGCTTCCCTCCTCGTGTATCTGTTGCGATGGTTCTTTCGAAAGGAGTGGGGGGGAGAGAGGAGGGGGAACACTCCCGTGTTTTTTGTTTAATGCCATCAATAATCTATTTGATATTGGAATATTACAGAATATTTATGTTGTCAATGAGTAGGATTATTTTTTTTCACCCAGAGAGACTGAAATATACAGTCAACCCTTGTCCATGGTTGAATTTCCACAGATATAACTTAATCGGTGACCCCCTACACACACACACACACAGTACACACACACCCACCCCACACACACACACCCACACACACTACACATACATACCCCCACACATAGACACCCAACCCCACTCACACAGACACAGACACACAGACACACAAACAGACCCCCACACACACTACACACACATACACAGCCACCCCCCACCCCCCCCCCCCACACACACACAGACCCACACTCTACACACAGACCCTCAAACACAACATAAATAGGAAACAGGTTTAGTAAAGAGATTAAACATCCAAACCTGGGATGCAGTGACCCCCTGTGAGCAGGTCTGTGTGTGGTTGACATCAGGAGGAGGGTGTGAGAGACAGGATGGACAGAGAGAGAAACAGACAGGAGAGAGAGATAGAAGCAAAACTGAAGGGATAGTTCGATAAGAAAGGGAGAAATAGATCCCCCCCACACACACACACACACATACACACACACACACACAGCCCTTACACACATACACACACACAGCCCTTAAACACACACACACACAGCCCTTACACACCTCCCCCCCCCCCCCACACACACACACACACACTCACAATACACAGCTACACCACAAATACCGACTGCTCTGTGACAGACTCTCTCAGTCCAACGCGAAAGAGATTTGGGTTTATCCAGAAAAGATACAAACAGTATATATAAGGGGTGGGGGAGGTGGTCGGGGGGGGGGGGGGTGGTGGAGGTGGAGGGGTCCTACCCCACAGCTGTCAATTCCTGGGGCTTTCTCCCCCCCCCAATACACAGACAGACAGAAAGGCAACCAACCTATGTCTGAAACACTGATGAAACGCCTTCTCTCGTATTCCCACCGCTCTGGGATTAAGAACTCTCTTCCCCCTCATTCCTCCCCCCCCCCTCTCTCTCTCTCCACCCCCCTCCCTCCCTCCCTCTCTCTCCACCCCCTCCCTCCCCCCTTCTCTCTCTCTCTCTCTCTCTCTCTCTCTCCACCCCCCTCGCTCCCTCCCTCCCTCTCTCCATCCCTCCCTCTCTCCATCCCTCCCTCCCTCTCTCCATCCCTCCCTCCCTCTCTCCATCCCTCCCTCTCTCTCTCTCTCCCTCCCTCCCCTCCCCAGCCCTCCTCCTACTTGTTCTGTTGAAGCAGTCAGTGCTGTGTTGGTGGTTTGGATTTTGCTGCTCTGGATGTTCTCTGCGCTTTTTTTTGGGGGGTGAATGACTGACGGAAGGATTTTTTTCCCCCAAAACTTTGCTGGACTCGTTACACTCACACACTCACCCGCAACGCAGATCCGCATTCACCCCCCACCTCCCCGCAACTCACACCCAACTTCCCGCTGTGTGTGAGTGTGTGTGAGTATTGTGTGTGTGTGTGTGTGTGTGCGTATTGCGCGTGTGAGTGCGTAGTGTGTGTGAGTGTGTGTAATTGTGTGTGTGAGTGTATTTCGCGTGTGTGAGAGAGAGAGAGAGAGAGAGAGGGGGGGGTGTTTGTGTGTGTGTGTGTGTGTGTGTGTGTGTCTCTATTGTGTGTGTGTGTTTGCACAGCGAGAGTGTAGTGTGTGTGTGTGCGTGTACAGAGAGAGAGAGAGACAGTGTGTGCACAGAGAGAGACAGGGAGAGTGTGTAGTGTGTATGTGTGTGCACACACAGAGAGAGAGAGAGAGAGAGAGAGAGAGTGTAGCTTGTGTGTGTGTGTGTGTGTGTGCAGAGTCAGAGAGAGAGAGTGTGTGTGAGTGCACAGAGAGACAGAGTGTGTAGTGTGTAGTGTGTGTGTGCACAGAGACACAGAGTGTGTAGAGTGTGCGTAGTGTGTGTGTGTGTGCACAGAGAGACAGAGACACAGAGTGTGTGTGTGTGTGTGTGTGCACAGAGAGACAGAGACACAGTGTGTGTGTGTGTGTGTGTGGCTGCACTTGACACTTGGGGCTGTGAGGGTTAAGGTGATATTGACGCTCAGATCTGGTGGAGGTGGTGGTGTTGGAGGAGCCACAGGACGAGGCTGTTGGAAGGTGCAGAGCCCACAGTGTTGTTCCTGTGTCCGGTTGTGGGGCTCTGTCAATGTTTGGCATTCAGGAGCACTTACCCAGAGGAGGGACAGAGGTTAAGGAGAAGCCCACAGCTGCGATGGACGCAGTCAGATCCTGGGTTCGGACAGTCGGGGTCGTGGCGGCCAATGTGGCAGCTCAGAGGTACGGAACAGAGCACAGGATCACACACACACACACACACACACAGCCGGTAACACACACACACACACACACACACACACACACCACACACACACACACACACACGAGGACACACAGAGAGCACACACACACACACACACACAGGACACACACACACACACACACACACAGGGTAACACACACACACACAGGGTAACACACACACACACACAGGATAACACACACACACACACACACGGTAACACACACACACACACACACACAGGGTAACACACACACACACACACACAGGGTAACACACACACACACACAGGATAACACACACACACACAGGGTAACACACACACACACACACAGGGTAACACACACACACACACACACACACACACAGGGTAACACACAGACACACACATACACAGGGTAACACACACACACACACACACACACAGGGTAACACACACACACACACACAGGGTAACACACACACACACACACACACACAGGGTAACACACAGACACACACATACACAGGGTAACACACACACACACACACACACACACAGGGTAACACACACACACACATACCACACACACACACACACACACAGGGTAACACACACACACACACAGGGTAACACACACACACACACACTCACACACACACACACACAGGGTAACACACACACACATACCACACACACACACACACACACACAGGGTAACACACACACACACACACAGGGTAACACACACACACACACACACACACACACAGGGTAACACACACACACACATACACACACACACACACATAGCAGTCAGTAGGAATCCGGTTGTTAGTCGATCACTTTTCCGGGGATAACAATCCCTTCAAAAATAATAATAATAATAATAATAATAATAATTTGGTCACTTCAACCCACTGCTGTTTGTAGTGAACGCCGCTGTGCGCAATGGGCGGCCGCGTTTCGCCCACCGAATGCACAGTCACTACACCTTCCAAGTGAAGCGCTTCGAGACGTCTCCACAAGGCGATAAAAGCCGCTCTATCAAATGCGAGGAACATGACTATGACTATTATTATCGTCACTATCATCACTATCATTAATATAACAATCACCTTCGCTGTTGTCCAAAGTGAGAGCAAAAAAATCTACAGGAAATCTTAAAGAAAAACCTAAAAGATCGTTAGTGTTAATACTTCAAGTGCTGTTTTTATTGTTTTTATCATTTATCATCGATTACAATAACGCACTTAATTTTCTAAACGTCGTATTGTCATCAGTTATTATCAATAAATGATCAATTATTATCGTCGTATTATTATTATTATCATCAAAAAAACAACGTTAACGACGAAAAACGATGACCGACGACGTTGTGCACTTTCTTCTTTAATTCTGTAAGAAAAAAAGTGCGTCGTTATCGATAATGTTATCGATCAATTATTGCTTCGGACGATCATCATTTGCGACGGTTCAGAGGCGCAGTTTGAAACGGTTCTGATCGCTTCCAGTGATTCAGAGAGTGTTTTTTTTTTGTGTGGGGGGGGATTTGGGGGATCATTTCCCCGCAAAAAAAAAACACCCAGAAAAAAAAATAGGGTCAGTTGAGTGTTTTTTTTTCATGTCAGACGATTGTTGGCCGAGAGAGAGAGA